AAGTGCGCCCGAGCCTGCGTGCGGAGGGCTGGGCATCTGACTGAGGGATACTTCGGGAAAGCTTCAGCTGACAGAGCCGCCAAGTGTTCCCTGCCTGGAGGATGCAGGTGGAACGGTCAAGGACCAGCAGAGTGTGGTGGCTCAGAGTGGGGAAGGGTTCAGAAAGGGCGTTAAAGTGAGATTTACTTCAGAGAAGCTCCATGTCCATAGGTACTGATTTCATTACTTCGAGCGCCAGTATATAAATCTTCATTAGGAACAGTGATCACTGAAAATGATTTTAATTTTTTAACCAATATACCACTGAAATACAGCCTTTTTCCACTTATGAAAATAAATGTAAAAGACTACTATTGGTCTTTAGCTGATGCCAAAATGACAAGCCAGTTTGGTTTGGCTATTAATTTACATTCTTAATTTTAGTTTCAAGTAACTATCACAGCAGATGGGCGTTTCTTTTACAGCTGCTTGTGTGATAGGAACAAACTTGGGAAATACAGCAGAGATTCAGGAATGCTAAGCTTACCATCAGTAGAATAAATAATTTATTTTTATATAGTCCATGTAAATTGTGGTTATGATAGCAAGTAACAATAAGAGGTTATCATCTCATAAAAAGTCTCAGCCATTTTAATAAATGAGTATTCCTAGTTATGGTAACAGTAACTCTGTCATAGAAATTAAAGATGAGTAATATATGTCTTATCTTTCAGAACTTTAAATGATTTTTCCCTTCAGATGGTTAGCTAATGAGTATTTTTATATTTAATGGTTCTGTCTACTTCCTGTATTAAATATAGAACTGGATGCATAGTAATATAAACTTGAGCCCTCTCTGGCACATATTAAATTATGTGCATCATTTAGCGAAATGTAAATTATGTTGTGAGTGCTTCCTAAGTAAATAATTTCCATTATTTATCAGATTCAGCCATTAGATGATTCTAAAAATACTCATCATGTTCTCAGTGGCATTTTTTTTCAGGAGTTGGCTGTTTGGGTACCAAATTACAATCAGGAATGAAATGCTCCACAATTTCATGGTACATAGTATCAAAGGTTATCGAGTGGTTTTGAATATCAGTGATAATTCTCCGTGTACTGTGATTGAAAATGGCCTAAGGGAGGTAAAATCTGAGTCATTTCTAATAATGAAGACAATCTTGAAAGCTTTCTGTTTGATGTTTCTTTCCACTAATTTCTTGTTGCAAAGTCTGATAGCCTGTATTTAACTTTTTTTTCTCTTTTAGTTCTACATGTCGTAACTGATACATCATTATAAAGGTGAAACCCTTAAGAATATACTTTATCTTTCTTAGTTTCCATGCAGAAATAACCTTCAAACAAATTACTAGCCTGTTACCCAGAATATTTTAGATTCCAGGCTGGTAGCACCCCTAGCATGTGTTATGGAAGATAGCCCATTTATTTTCTCAGCATTTGAAATAACTTCAAATCTCTTAGCATTTGCACATCAGATTCCCCGGGCTTTAGCCATTCTTGTGATTTCCTTTGAACTCGTGTCATGTGTTAATGCTCCATTTATCTTTCAATGACTGGGTGTCTTGGCAGGCTTGGCCCTTGAGGAGAAGAAACAGAGAATGGCTTGGGGCTTCTGAACCTGAATGGCATGTCATCACCCAGCCATTTTCACTTTAAAATATAACCGTAAAGGGTGATGTCTTTGAGGCTGTTTGGGCAGCCCAATAGATTCCGTAAGAAAACTGGAGCGTTCTTAGCCTCGCCCTTATTAATACCTGATTTTGATCTACTCACTTACTTCTCAGAATTATAATTCTTTCCCTTATTATGAAAGAAAAACACCACCTGCTACAGCTGGATAGTGAAACAAATTCAGATAGATTGTATTAGAAAAGAAATATATTGCCCAAGAAAAAGTGCCGCAGAGAACAAAGATCATGCTAATATTTTAATATATGTGGGATAAAGCAGACTCTTATCTGTTTCTAGATCCTTTATTATTAAAGATATTTTCAGACCAAGGAAAACGATTTCAGTGCCTCGTGAGTCCCTGTGCCTTTTAACCACAACTTCTTCTATAAATTAGGAGTTATGGAATTAATTCCATTCCACTTGCTAATAAAAGCTAACTGCTTAAGACTTGTGTTGAAGTCAGCTGTGAAGAATTCTTGCAAGATGGCTGCTGCTTACCTTTTGCTAGAATTTAGTAGTTTAGGAGATTAGGGGCACTCTCATATTTCCTTGTTTTTTTTTTTTCTTGTCTTTTCTTTTTTTAATGACATTTTATAAAATGGAGAATAGTATGGCTAGTTGATGCTGGCACCAGTATCTTGAAAACTGAAGGCCTCTGTATGTCTGCTAAACTACTGCTGGTCTTTTGTCTGGTCTAAAGGAACTTCTGTGTTTCCTACTTCCCTGTGAACAGACAGACACAACACACGTTGCACAGATGAAGCATTTAAAAGAGAATGGTCAGTTTCCATTTGCTCAGAATTTTATTGCTGAAATCTTACCTGGGCTGAAGTCACTCCTTAAAGGTCACTAGTGCTCACACTGGCTCTGTGTACACGTGTGTGTAAAAATATTCCCTACATTTTACTGTTTTAAGCTCTTTTACAAATTACGTGATATGTGCTGCGTAACACTTTAAGATCGGTTGTGTGTTGACTTCATTTTGCAGATGAGGAAAGGGCAGTGAAGCTCAGAGCTGATATTATAGTTTGACTCTTAAATGCCACCAGAAGCCCTGTGTTGAAGGGTGGTACTGGCCTGTGGCAGTGTTGGGAGGAGGTTGGAACCTCAGGCGGCATGACCTAGGGGAGGAAGTTAGGTCGCTGGAAGCCCTTGAGGGCATATCAGGAACCAGCAAGTTCCTCCCTCTTTTTTGCTTCCCAGCTACCATGAGGTGAGCAACTTTTCTTTGCCCCCTGCTCCTGCCCTGCTCTGCTGCCCTCCTGCAGGTCCAGACCAATGGGGCCAGCCGACTACAGACAGAAACCTTGAAACCATCATCCCAAGTAAACCTTTCCTCCTTAAAAATTGATTTATCCTCAGGTGTTTTGTCCCAGTGGCAAAAAGCTGACTAACACAACTGGATAGTATCTGAAGCAGGATTTGAACTCACATTCTGACTGGTCCTTAGCTATGTGGGCTGCTGCTTTTGATGTGATCAACTATGCCCTTCCTGAGACTACATCCTCCTTTGCATTTGTGCCAGTTGCTTAGTGAGCACTGCTCATGTTAGGTGCTGTTCTGGGCAGTGAAACTAGTTCAGGGACTGAAAATCAGAGAAGTCATTTGCCTGTGCAGCTTGCGTTGTACTGGACAAGGCAGAAATGCTGACGAAAGGTACCAGTAGTAAATAAGTAAATTGCACAGCACAGTAGAAGAGGTGGGTGCTATGGAAACGTATGTGTAAGTGTAAGAAGGTGAGGGAGGGAATTCCTCTGTGGCAGGAATGCAGGATAAATGGGGCGGCCTGGGGAGGCTCTATGAGAAAGAAGTGCTTGAGCCAGGAATTAAAGGTGGGATGCACCATGAGGGCATTCAGGGAGGGACAGTCTGTAGGCGGCACAGAGACTCTGAGGTGGGCTTATGCCTGTTGTATTCAGGGAGTAGCAAGGAGGTCAGGGAGGCAGAGAGGCAGAGGTGGTGGGAGGCCAAGGCCACCGCAGTGGGCAGAACAGCACTTTGTGGTCTGTATGGGGAATTGGGCTCTTCCTTTTGCAGAAATAGGCACCCCTGGGGAGGTTTTGAGCAGAGAAATGAACTGATGTGGGGTATGGGGCGTTGTTACTGGATTGCCCTGGCTGTCGAGAAGGCAGAGGTGGGAAAATAGTCGGGAGCCCCTACAGTCATCCAGGGTACCATAGATATGAGGGCGCCCTGGACAGAGGCAGCAATGAATGGCTAGAACTGGATGTACTGTGGAGGCAGAACCAACATGGTTTGGACGCGGACTGAGAGGAAGGAGGCAGTAGGGGGTAACCTCACGGCTTTCAGCCTGGCTAACTAGAATGGAATCACTGTTAGCTGAGGTGGGAAAGGCTGTGAGTGGAGAGCCTCAGCATTCTGATTTTGAACATAGAACAAAAACTACAACACTAAAAAGAGCATGTTCAATATCCACCAGTGTAGAACTGGGTGGGCAAATTATTATACTTGCACAGAGTATAATGGGGACTATGGGGACAAAAGTGATCTGCACATCTGTACATTGCTTATTGATGTAATTACTGAAAAAAATAAAGCTGTCTATCAGATGATACTCAAGACACAACCATATTCATACAAAACTGTATAGAGAAAGTGAAGACAACAAAACCATATGTTCTTATGTCACTACTTTAAGCATTTCTATAATTAGTTTTTGTCAGTAAAAAGGGAGGCTGTGTTGTCATTAGCTGCATCTCAGTGTTTCGGTACTCTGAGCTGAGTTGTGGGGCCATTGTGTAGCGGAGAGAGATGGAGCTGTGATTTCCCCGGACTGGGGAAGCTACAGAGATACCAAGAGCGTCACACTGTAATCTGTGAACAGCTAGCCGTCCTGCTGTGAAAGGACCCTAAGGAGAGACAGATCAGATGACTTTCCTCTTTCACGTGATGTTTACACAAGGAGTTTTAAAATTGTGTCCATCTTATTTTCCCCTCTGTTAAGATCCACATACATTTTAAAAATTCATCTGTTTTTCCGTTGTACTTGTAGATAATCACTCTGTCCTTGATATCTCAAATTTCACCGTGACATGCTTTAGTAGTTCTGAAGCCTAACAAATACGAAGTTCCAGGGCTGCCAGTTAAAATCAGCACTCTTTAATTGAACGCTTTTAAACTACAAGTCACGCTAAGCAGGGAAGCTTTAAAAACAACTTCACGATTTTGTGGTATCCCGGTTCAAGTGCCAGCAGTCAGTACTGCATCTGAAAATGCAGTATTAGGTTCTAAGAAAGTGAGGTAGATATGAACCAGCTCCCAGGGTGGAATGTTTGATTGATGTGATTTTGTTTTGTCATTTCAAGGGAGTGAAAAAGATAGATCCCAAGTGGTATGAAAAATTTATCAACCACAGATTTGGAGAAGAAACCCTGTACCGCATAGATCTTTGTTCCATGGAGAAGAAAAAACAAAGTAATGGTTACTATCACTGTGAGTCTTCAATTGTGGTTGGTGAGTCTTTTAAAAGATTTTTTTTAAAATTTCTTTAGCATGACTTTTTTTTTAACCAGTGTCTAGGGTTAGTTGTAAGTTTTCCTCAATGACATATTTTTCCAAATATTATGTTTTGGCAATAATACACTGACAATTTACCAGAGCATTTTTCGTATTTATATGTATCTAAATTTTACTACCTATAGTTTTTGTGCTTTTGTGCTTTAAATATAATTGTAATGAAGTCTCAGACTGACTTACGGTTTATTTCACTTTAATATTATTTCATGATTGAGAAGAAAATGTTTTCTCCCAGGAATACCTTCACGATCCTGCCCTGAGCACACGTGGCTTGGTCATGTGTGCTGCTTTTAATTGGGAATAGAGTGACCTGGGTCAGGGAGGTCCACTCTAAAAAGAGAAAGTGTAGGTGGCCTCAGAAACCAGAGGCTTCTTTTTCTTTTGTAACAAAAACATGTTTGGAGCAGATTTGTGAATAAATGCTCCAGCCCGCTGATGGATGCTCCTGTCAGGTGGAACAGACGTGTCACAGCTGTCTTCCCAGGTGCAGTGTGTGTGCCGAGCGAAGATGTCTCACCCGGAAACGGGGTCATCCTCACCTTCTGCAAACAGCATGTATTGCATGGGAGTCTGCTCTGATATGATTTAAAAATACTATTTCAAGCCAAATACTCTTCTTGTAAAATTTTGAATCTCACCCCAACCTGACTTACATGCTTTTAAAGTAAAATGAAGATACCCAAAGAAGATAAATGTGTCTAAATACTTCAAGGTCTTCAGCCAAGACAATTTCTTTCCACACCAGCTCGGAAAGAACGTATGGATATGTGGTGTACACCTCCTCAAAGAGTTCTAATACTGAAGTTTATGAAAGCATTTAAAAATGTTCAAGAGATACAATTTTATTTTCAAATCCTCAGCACAGAACCCCAGAGAAGTCCTCGTTTTATCTTCCAAGCAGCTATCTTAAACAGAAGATATTCCGTATGTCATTGGAGTTTTATATCCTGAAACATTTCGAGTCTATTTTAAGGATGATTTTCATGCTTTTGGAATCTCAGGAAGAGAGCTATCTTCCATCCAACTTTTGATGAGGACCAGGCTTTTCTGAAGTTCAGCTTCACTGCTAAAGGCAAATTCAAATTCTTGTAAAGTAGGGAATTTGGCTAGCTTTCCTTATCTACTGTGTAATTACTTTAGGCCAGTCTTGAAAGGCAATACAGTGCCTCATGGCCTTTCGCACTCCGATTTAAAAGGAAAAACCCCAGGGTATGTGGGCGTGCTAAAGACGTGGGGTGGGCATTGTACAGTGTACAGCGCGCATTGCCAGTAGGAGGCGCTGTCCTCACCCCACACCCGGATGTTGGCCACCCGCTAATCCAGGTACTTGGGACCCTGAGGCAGGAGGATAGCTGCAAGTTTGAGCCAGCCTGAGCTACGTAGCAAGACCATCTCTCACCAACAAAAAATGGTGATTTTAAAGATGTTAGCTCTTTGTTTGCCTTATTGTTTTCCAATATTCTCTAGATTTTATTTGGCATTTTATTTTGGACAGTTTTTAAGTGTTTTAAATTTTTATTACATTAGAAACATCTTCTTTTGATTTCTTCAATTACTCATATGATTAGAGTCATCTCCAGGCCAAAGATTTGACACATTGATTTATAGTTTCTTCTAGTTTTATTATTTTTATGTTTGAGCTTTTTTTATTTTGTTTCATTGACAAAGGATCTGGCTTCAGAGTCCAGATTGGCCTTGACCTCATTAGGTGAACCAGGCTGGCCTCGAATTTGCAGTGATCTTCCTGCTTCAGCCTCCTGAGGGGTGGGATTATAGGTGTGTGCCATTATGCCCAGCTTGAATTTGAGTTTTTAATCTTCCTTGGTTGAATACTAGGGGTACTCAAATGCAGACGGTTAAGCCAGATATCCAGTTACTAAAAATGAGTGCAGAGGATTTAGGAAGGTAGTACTTTTTTAGATTTTGTTCTTATACCTCACCACTCTCCCACTGTGTATATTAGCGATCATGCATTAGCCGCCCTAGCTGTTGTATATGATTGGCCCATGGTATATTGCTTTTTTTTTTTTAATATAAATTGGATGACTTGCTAATATTGGGGTGATTTATGTAAATCTGGATTTTGAAGGGTGTGGCCTCACTGGTCCCACAACCTTGGCAGGGTGCTAGAATTTCCTGGATGGAGAAGTTAGCCACCTTTCATCATCCGTCTGTTCTTGGACAAATCTGCTGAACTTGTGTGTGCTCCCCGCTTGGCTCCTGAGCACATCTCTCTGCGTGCACACCCCCTGCCAACACTGCTGTGCCCTCTGACTCTGTCTCATTCCCATGGTGGCCACGCCGCACTCCATCTCCTGCCACTTCACGCCTTCACGTCCAGTGTTAGGGGACTTTGCTGAGAGGCAACACTCATATTTACAAATAGAAGAAAAAAACCACAACATTTGGTTGTTTCATAATCAAAACTTCGGGTGATAGGATGCCCACTGGTTATTGGGCTACAACTCCTTGCACACTTAACTGCACTAATCAGCCAAAATTCAAATCTAGAAAGAAATATAAAAATCCTAGTCCTTCCTGGTAAGTCAGGAATGAAATATGATCCAGGTATCCTAGGGTTATGAAAGCTGTTCTCTCTGAGTGCCTTACTGGAGTTGAGTGAATTAATTTTTCCTCAGGCAGCCATATTCCATTTATATTTCCTTAGGCAGTTGACCAAGTAACCCTCTTGGTAGGAGGGATGAACAATCTAGTACTTCCAAGACTAGTTTCCTTCTAGCTATCATACATGCCATATGCAAAGCAGTGGGGAATTTGGAAAGGTCTAGGAGATTACCTTACTATCTATGTATGTATGTATTTATCTATCTATCCATCTATCTATAGTAGACCTGTGTATTTCTTTCATAACTTCTATAAGCAGAGGTGGAAATGGAATGATTTTCTGGGAACTCCAGTATTTTGGGCCTAGTACTCCTAATTCAACATTACTGCATATTATCAAGTTTGTACAGCGTGCCTCCTGCTCTCAGACATTATGGGATACAGAGCAGAATAAGACCTCGTCATTAAGAGTGACATAGTCATTGCGCCCAGAAGATGACATCTGAGAAGTGGAGGGGGAGGAAGATAGAGGAAGAGGGCTTGTTCATAACAAGGTGGGCTTTGGTGGACACAAAAGGAAAAGCCTATGATTTTACCTCGTGGGAGAGTGGGAATGAGAAGTCGCAGAATTCAGCTAAGCCATATGAGAAACAGGCTGTAGAGAAAGGAGATTTTCTAGCCCAAAAGGTAAGATGTACAGTGGGAGGGAAGCAGGCTGGAGGAAGTGATAGTGATAGGAAACACCCTGACTGAACTGACAGCATTGGTAGTAAGGAAGCTACCGAGTAGGCAGGTGCTGTGTTTGCATTTATGCGCAGCTGATGAAAGGATGGACGGAATTATGCAGACTGAGGTGACACATGTGCACTGGAGGAGACTGAGCAGATAGACGTGGGCTAAGGAGAGGTTAGTACTCAACATAAGAACACAGCACTGTACCCTAAAGATAAGACATGAGTTAGTTCTGACTGTAGCAGAAGAGGCAATTGGGAGGTTACAGAGCTGCTGATAGAACAGGAAAAGGGTCACAGTCATCACTGCTACGCTCCTTGCCTTCCAACGGAGTTGATCTGATAGACACATCATAAGTTGAAAGTATCATAAGTAGAAGACACATTTAATATACCTAACCTAGAGAACACCATCATTTAGCCTGGCCCACTTTAAGTATGCATATTAACCTAGAATTGGGCTAAATCATCCGACAAAATCTATTTTGAGTATCTCATTTTGAGGTCTCGTTAAGTATCTTTGAGCACCTGTGTCCAAAAAGCACTCCAAGTGCTGTCCTGTGTGTATGGAGTATCCATTGTTTCCCCTTGGGATGGTCTAGCATCACGGAGTGTCCTACTACACAGTGCTAGCCCTTTGTAAGTTGAACCATTGTAGATCAGGAATTGTGTGTATTTTATTCAGTCTGTCAGTTCTGACTAGACTACATAACAGTATACCATGCTCAGACTTCATGGACTGAAACACTAAGGAGAGTTCTGAGTGAGCTGCGTTGAGTTAATTGCATCCAGATAGCCCTGTTCATTGAGAGTCACCTTTAAGGGAGCTGGACATTTTAGACCAATCCTATTAGTCTTAAAAAGCTTGTTGCGGTTTGCCCAGGGATTTCTATTACTCCTCCCTGGAAGGTGATTTCAGCCGTAAGGAGAAGCTGTGTTGCAGCCGGGGTTGGTGTCACTTCTGACTGAGGGCCCTCAGCTCGGATGTTGGTGTCCTGCCTTTCAGTGCCCCTTGCCCTGTAGGCCAGGACAGAGCTTGGCAGGCATCCACTTGCCCACTTAGGCACTGTGCCTGGTTGCAGTGTGTGGTCCCCGGGATCTTCTGTGTGGAGGACAGGGTAGTGTCGGTGCTGTCAGCCCACTGGCTGGAGCAGGAAGTAGGGGCGGGGGGAGAAGCACATGCGCACCCCTCCTCCCCATGGACGGAAGGCATCGCCTCTGAGCTTTCTAGAGTAATAGAACTTGACCTTTGTCTGATAAATGATTAATAATACAGTGTTCAGCTTGGAAATGTTTGTATTGCTTAAATGCCATATGCCCACTTGAAGGTCCATTTAATAGAAAGGGGTATTGATCATAGCTATGTGTTGGAATACTTTTCATTTATTTTTTGCACTAGAAAAAGGTGTATCACTGCACTTATCAATGATTTACTATTCTAACAGCTCACAAGGCTACACTTTTTGGGTCTTAAACTCTTTTAAAATATACTTCGGTTCATGTCTTTTATGGCTGTGTATAACAAAAACAGGAAGGTCCGTAGAGCATCTGTGCTGCACACGGAAGCAGGAGGTTCACGTGAAGGGGAGCCCCACAGTGACGGCGCACGTTGCCAGCTAAAGCAGCCATTTTATTTCTTGA